TGTTTAGTTTTGCCCCTGTTAATGATTATGTAATTGAATGACATAATTGAAAGGGACGTGGTAGCTCAGTGGCTAAGTCACTGAGGTTGATCAGAAAGGTCAGCAGTTCGGCGGTTCAAATCCCTAGCGCCCCATAATGGAGTGAGCTCCCGTTACTTGTCCCAGCTTCTGCCAACCTAGCAATTCGAAAGCATGTAAAAATGCAAGTAGAAAAATAGGGACCACCTTTGGTGGGAAGGCGTTCCGTGCACCTTTGGTGTTTAGTCATGCCAGCTACATGACCACAGAGACGTCTTAGGACAGCACTAGCTCTTTGCTTTTGTAACAGAGATGAGCACTGCCTCCTAGAGTCGGGAACAACTAGCACATATGTGCGAGGGGAACCTTTACCTTTAATTGAATGAAACTAAAATACTGAAAGTACTTTATGTGCATGTAAAGCCTTGCTATAAAAAACAAACAGAAACATGAAATAATATGTGACATTTTCTACATCATCTGCTACATAAGAACTTTTCTGACAAATAAGAAATATTCCAAATACAATGATACATTAATTCCCTTCTATGCCATGAAAGTAATAACTTTCCTAATTCCTAATTATTACCAACGTTATTTACAACTTCAATTTTGTTAGTAAACAAATACCTTCATCGTTTTCTGTTTCTAAATAATTTTTTTAACTGTCTTTCTAAAATAAATTGCTTTCTCAGGCCTTAACTGATAACTTGGATTCATAGATTTCAGTTCCTCCTCAGTTCGTATGCACTAAATGTGTAGGAAAGAGGATTGAAAAAAACAGTAGCCAACTATTTTTTTGGGAAATTATACTTGAAATAGAATCACAGAGTTACGAATGTCCCATATATAAATTGGATGGTGGTATCTGCCTCTCTGTTTTAAGGTTGAGCCTTTTATACATTTGTTCATTGTCAAAGCATTAGGCAGTATGCCCCCAAGGCTATTCTGAAAGAAGTTACTTAGAAATTAGTCATTTTAAAATAAATATATTTTGATAAAATAGGGAGATTGTATTCTTTAACTTAATGTTATGGACTGATAAACTCAAGTTTTTGAATTTTGAATTTTGAGCTGTTACCGTAAGTAGCCTCTCTATATTTCTGCTACAACTTCCTGCAGAGAGAACATGGCTTTGAACTTCTTTTTTTCCCCTCTGATATATCTTGAAGGACTTGGGCATGACAATCAAAATTGTTGAGCCTGGGGGGTGGGGGGTGGGGTTAAAAAAAAGTAACATTGTCAAGCTATGTCAAATAAACAGTACAATTTATGTAATAATCCAGAGGGTTTTTCAACTTTCAGAAACAGAAAATGGCATATACCTTGTAGGTTTGGAGACCACAATGTTGGCGCAATAATTAAAAATAATGCCAAAAGGAAGTATTAATGCATCCTTTTAGAAAAATAAATTGAGGCAGTTATATTTCATAATGTATTGGTATTTCACCTTTTTAAAAAAAAAAAACCTTTCTTTTCAAACTGTTTTTACTTCTTCAAAATTGAATTACTGTTATACTAATACAACAATTACTTTTACCATGGGTAATGCTTTGCAGTTTAGTTCTTGTATCTCAGTTATATTTCAATTTTTCTTTTGCAGGCCAGTTCCAGTCCAATACTTTCTAGCCAATCGCTGATGCCACCCCACTCCAGATTAAGACTGACAAACAATCTAGGTATATAAATGACTCCACCATATCCTCTTCTTACTATAGTGGTAATGTATATTTTACTGTGGTTATTAATGCACTTTTGAGGCGTTCTTTGGTCATATAAAATGACCTTCCTTGTTCAGTGACTGATTTTTGTGTGTGAATAATATTTACTATAATATATATTTACTCAGTGCATTTAGAGTTAACACTGATACAGAGGTGAATGGCAGACAACTGGAATCAAAGTAGCAGTTGTTCAAAATGTTAGAAAAATTAAGCAAAGAAAATTTTGTCTAAACCATGTTGCAATACAGTAAACCCTTCAATCCTGCATCTATGTATCATAGATTATTGCGGTATAACCCAGGTTCTTGCTCTAAAAGGAAAATATATTGTGACTGAATCTACCTATAATGTAATGTTTGGTTTTTTAAATTCCTTGTTACAGAGAACTGTGGGCGGGTCATAGCAGTCCCACAACTGGCATAAGCAGATAAGATGGTTGTGCTACATCAGTTCCGCCTCAAAAGTTGATTCGGAATCAAAAGCAGTACTTAAAAACAAAGCCCAAATTGGTTTAGACAGAGTATGGACATCTCACTTCATCTAACAGCTTGACTGACCCAAGGCAAGGTTGATGGTTCACCTTAGTTAGTGGAGGGGAAACACAAATGGTTGTTATTCCCTCCTCCAATAGGACAGTTTTCAGGAATTTTAGGCAAAGAGATAAATGCAAAGGTTAAAGAATTTCATTTTATCTCTTGGTTTCTTTTTATTAAATTTTCATAACTTCTTTGTTAATGAAACAAGTTTATTGTGGATACAGATTACAACATTTCAGGTGGGTCAAGATGTTCTACCCAATTGGTAGTTTTAAAAAGTACCATATTAATAAATTGCTAGAATGCAGGAGAGAGGAGAATCTAAACTTCTCAGACCTCTTCCAGCCATCAGGTTATGGCACTAATCCTATCATGTTCAACAACTAGGATCACTGCAGTGAACTAAAAGGCATGCCCTATTTCACTGATTTTATGGAGCCCTTCATCAAAATAGGTTTTGATCAGCATTAATCTTCTTAGAACGTCCCTCTTTGTTATACAGACAGGTATAGAGACAACTCATTCAGTGACCGTTTGACATTATGAGGGCACTGCACAAATAGTACTTATGGTCGGTCCTTGAAGTTCTGGCTATTCAAGCCCGTGGTTGTGTGTTCACAATCTGGGTGTTTGGCAACGAGCTCATATTTAAGATTATTGCAATGTTCCAGTGTCGGATTATTGTCATTTGCACTCTTCCCTGCCAGCTTACCACAAGCAAAGCATAAGCCATTTTTTCAGCACCATCGTAATTTTGAACTGTTGCTAAATGAATGGTGATTAAACAAAAGAAAATATGTAATGCCTCATAGATCTACAGCACTACAGCTCCCATCTCCACCTTCGTTCTGTGGAACTCACTTGAAAGGTGTCAACTTGGAGAAAGCTGCACTAAGAAAAACTTCCCTTTTTGGCCCTATCTTTGCATTCTCCCTACCTTGTTGTTTATTTTTATTTATTTATTTTCACACAGACCCACATATCCCTTTCCCAAGCAGTTTCAGTCTGCTGTGGCATTATTTATTACTTTGAGTTTTTTATCCCACCTTTATTACTTTATAAATAACTCAAGACAGCAAACGTACATAATACTTCTTCCTTCTCCTATTCTCAGAACAACAACCTTGTGAGGTGGGTTGGGCGAGAGAGATATGAGAGAGTGACTGGTCATACAGCTGACTTTTATGCCTAAAGTGGGATTAGAACTCACAGTCTCCTGGTTTCTAGCCCACCAAAAATAAAATCAGGTCTCCACAGCTCTCTGAATCTCGATTAATTAATGATGTGCCATTGTAGATTTTACAAATGCAGTATGTTAATAATTTCTAATTCTTCATACTATGTAAATTATTGCTTATGTTTTAGATATTGAAAGAACTTAAGTTTGCAGCGGTGACCTTAAACTGGGCATTTTGACCAGATTAATATCAGTTATATATATATATATATATTTTAAAGTCACAACCCCTGGTATGCCCAAATATGGGAGGAAGGTCACACTTCCA